TCCCAGATAGAGGTGACATTGTACCCCATTTGCTCTAAGACTGATTTCCTTCTTAAAGTTTCTTCATATAATTGTTGGTAAGTCAATTGGGGTTGGTGAGGATGAGTTTCGGTCTGTAGATTGGAAAAGCAGGTGGGGCATCCGTGCCAATAACATCCGTAAAATTCGTAGACGGTGTGGTTATCTTCCTGATATCCGTCTACAGTATAACTTCCGATCTTGACTTCTCCCCCGTTTCTCGCATGTTGGATGTGAGATCCACTCTGTTGACTCAAAAAGGTTAACCACCGACAGGCTTTGGCCGAATATTGACGAGCAGGTTGATATCCCAAGTTAGGAATGATGGCAATGGTATCTTCGGGCATAAATCCTCGACGGTAAGCTAAATTGGCCGCACTGGCAAAAGTGATAGATTCCTGAAAGGGATCTACATTCACTAAATTCTTGAGGGTGGCTCTAAACTGAGCACAACATCGTCGTAAAATATCGACGTCGGAAATACAATACTCTAAAAATTCCTTCTGGAAATCAAACACTTTTCCAGCTTGTTGATCGTACCATTGGAAAAAAGCCTGTCTTCCACTAATAGACATGTCGTCCGGATTGTAGAATGCCACAGGTGGATAAGGTCCCACGTAATTCTGATTCTGTACCGTATTAAAAAAGTGAGGGAAATACCCTTTTTTCAGTTCGGTGAATCCAAAAGCGGAAGGCATCTTGGACAGAGCAAAAGGTAAAAAATTATAAGAATCGATGAATTTCAATCCAAGGATTTCCATGGATAAGATTTTACTCCCGTTCTGGATGACGGTGGGTTTAATGCAAGCAGAATGCACCAGGTAATTTAAAATGAACTGTCCGTCATATCCTTTGAAATTGTGAGCAATGATGATGGCCTCGTCGTGTAATAAAGTACCATGCTTATCTCCTTTGCTGATGGGTTGTAATAACCAGTCCATGAAGTCTTTTAAGGTATTTAATCCTTTAAACACATGTTGACGGGGTCCCATGTGCCGACAATGAGGACAAGGATCCTCAATAGGTAAATGCCCACAATGTTGACAGACCCGATGTGCTACACACAGATTAGGAATGTGAATACCGTTTTCTTGCGTACATTCGAAATCGAAATAAATGTAAATCTGTAATGTCTCTTTTCCCTTCTTCTTTTTGGGAGGTTTCTGTTGAACGTAGCACTGATGATCATTCTGTACGATTTTCTTACAGATCTTACATTGTTTCCGTCCTCCGCATAAGTGATGAGATAATAATTTTTTAGGCATCCATTTCTGACATTGGTCACATCGTCCCATTAAATTACAGATGGTTGTTGTCGTATTTTTACTGTAAGGTCGTAAATGATTTTCATAACAACCTCTATTCTTAAAAAATCCCTGGCAATGAGGACATGAAATCTGGCTCCCGTCTTTAGGGCATGGAGGGTAAGATAAACAAAAATCACATCGAAAAGGACATTTGGATCGATGGTCTGTGATGTTTCTGTACCCTACATCACAATGATCACAATAATATTGACATCCTGTGATACCAGGCATTGATAAAATGGCATGGTAATGATGATCTTCTAACAAAATGTTTAAAGAAATTCCTTGTCCATTCCCTTTGTAGATAGGTTCTAAGGAAAATTTAGAAGACATAGACTTGATCTGAAATATTTTCAGTCGATATTGAGGATATAACACTTGTTGTAATTTCCCCCATTCTTCGGGTCCACAAGATTGATGAATATCACACCCGGCTTGTTCCATGAGAGCTTTAGCTTGATTTTTCTGATCATTACTCCTTACATCTCCTAACCGCATACGTTTCCATCTTTTTTCCCATTCGAGGTCGGGATTTTCTGGTTTTTCACTGTGTAACCGGGTGATGACAATAGCTCTAGCTAAACACATCTTATCCCAGGGATTATCGATCTGAACGATAGATTTTTTTCCTTTCAGGAAAGTGTCCTTATTGATCATCAGGTGTTTGGTATTATTTCCACCACTTCCTTCTGGATATTTCACATGAAACATGTCGAATTCCATAGACCCGTCTCCCAGTTTAAAATCTTTTTTAGATTGTTGAACGGCTTCTATTTTGTTTAAAATGACCTCCTCGTTTAAATGTTTACATTGGGTAAACTCGTACCAGATTTCAGATTTCAGAGAAGGATGACGTATGTTCAAACGTAAGTAATCGTTAGGATTACACTGCATTTCATATTTAACCTTTTTTAACATGTCTCTAAATAATTGCCGAACAAATCCTTTGTTTTCTTCTTCTGGAAATTCCTCAAAATTGATATTGTATTTATTTTCTTGGGCTTTAAATTTTCTGGAATGTCTGGTGGAATCTAATCTCACTTTATAATACTGAGAAATGGGTTTGGGTTTCCCTGGTGGTTAATGAGGTGGTGATAAATGAGATGAAGAACTTGGTTGTTCTTCTTCTTCTTCATTTACATGACGTAAAGCTTATACTTGTTGATGACGATTGGTTTTCTGTATTCTTTGTAAGTACAAGGCATTTCGTTTTCTAAGATCTAATTCTCTATCTCTATTGTTATGAAGAATTTTATCTAATTCTTTCTGTCTTTTTTTCCATTTCTTAAGTTGTCGTGTGAAACGATCCATGTTTTATTTTTAACAACAGAATGAGCTGAAAATCAAAAGAAGACGGTTTTTATACAATAGATGACGTCACAATGCCCAGGTTGCTGTGATTTGGATGGGTGCCAAGATTTTAAGTAGGAGGAATTTTTTTTTTTTGCACACGGCACTAGTGCACAGGTGTTTTAAGAATAGGATCTCGTGGTGTTATAATTAGAGTTACAAAAGAACTAAAAATAGTTTTAGACTTATAAAAAATAGTGAAGATTAAAAATAGATTAAACTAAAAAAAATAGTAGAGACTAAAAATAGAATGGATTAGAAAGGTATATAAACCAGACCTGACAGTATATAGGATCAGTCTTATTTTTTAGTCAGGGACTTTAAACCAAACCTTAAGATGGAAGAAGAAAATTCCAGGACTCTGAATGATATGTTTGACTTGGCAACAATAATGGCTGGTATTGAACTACAGGAAAGAAAAGGGATAAAAAAAATCCTAGAGGATATATGTGGTATAATTCTAATTCTGAAAGAGAACCAGAAGGAAATAGCCAGTATAATAAGAAAAATGATTGAGGATCAAGAGAAATCAACTGATTTAATGGTACAACTTCAGAAGGATAACTCTGAGTTTAGAAAAATCCTAACAAAAGAAATTGGTGTGTTTAAAGAAGAAGTGATGGCTGAGATTCGTAAGGATAAATAAAAAGGAAAAAAAACAGAGAGAGTGATAAAAGAAATGTGATTTTCGTGTATAGGACTGTTCTCTGATCTTGTTTTTCATATTGTATTGTATTGTATTGTATTGTATTGGATTGGATTGGATTGGATCAATAATAAAAGGTTTTTGTTGAAATTTTTTGGGATTTTTTGTATTTTTTTAAGAAAAAGGGGGAGAGAAAAAGTGCACTTAATTGACCCGGCCAGCGCATTTTGGATTTTTTGATACGGTATCCTGTATAGACTTTCTTATTTTGACTTTTTTTTTACAGGCTATAACGGCCCCTATACGCCTGGATAGCCCCGGCCAGCGCATTTTGCATTTTTGCCATTTTTTCCATTTTTTTACCGGCTATAAAGGCCCCTATACTCCAGGATAGCCCCGGCTATCCTGGAGTAATCTACTACTTATAGCTTTGGATAGGAAAGATAAAGAGTTGAGCTAAAGGGCCTTCTACCTGTCTTCTCCTCGTTCTCGATGAGGGTAGATCAATTCACCAGTTTTCCGAAAGAAATAGAACAAAATAATGCTGTCTATTACTAAAACCCAAGTCCAGAATATTTGTTTCATACATATTTTTTTCAAATTTGTTAAGTGTCTCCATGGTAAAAAATGATGATGTACACTCTTAACACACTTTGAAAATTTTTAACATTTTCACGAAACCTCTCAGCTAAACGTTATATCAATGTGCCTGCGTTCTTCATGCTCCCTGCTACAAATCTATGGCCCGAACAACCAATCAAGTGCGTTGATTTTGTCACAAATTTAACGCACTTTAAAATTTTTTTTCAAAGTGCCTTTGATTTTATCCCAATTTTAACGCACTTTGAAAAAAAAAAATCAAAGTGCGTAATTTTTCAAAGTGCGTTGTCACATACCTTCAATAATTAATTTGCATTCACCAACTAAGTTCCACTCTGGAGCTTGGAACCACCAATTTCAGAAGTTTGGTAGAAGGTTGTGTTTATTATACTCAGTATTCATGGAAATAGTTTGCCTAATAAATATCGCTTGGTATTGAAGATTTTTTCAAAGATGCAGTATACTTCAATGACCAACGGAGACTGTAATACACCAGGAACCAAAAGTTTGACAATTTTGGTTGAGGGCTAAGTATTTATTGTAATCATGCTAGAATTCGATGAGTAAAAGAGAAAATTCACAAGTGTAATGTTTTTCAATACGAAAGCGTATCACTATAGAGGCTGAACCATGTGCCTTGGGCCATGATTTCACAATTTTGGTCGAAGGCAAAGTATATTGTTCAAAATCATGCAGCAATGCTATAAATGTCCATGAGATGAAATGCATTTCCAGTATGTGACCAAAAAAAGGCCAACCCTAGCGCCTGACTATTGATTCAAGGGTCATAAATTTCACAGTTATGATAAAATATTCAGTTCTCCATTATAATCAAGCAAACAGTTCGTCTGACTTGCCTGAGTAAAGTAGCAGATTCTTTAGAATATATTGCATTTTAAGAATACATGCATGACCATCTTGATCCCACCCTGGAAACTGAACTCAGAACCCATGACCAGGTTCTTAAAGAGTTCCCTGCTTTTTCCTAACCATATATATATATATATATATATATATATATATATATATATATATATATATATATATATATATATATATATATATATATATATATATACCTGTACAGCAGCTGCAATAGAACCTGCTGCCACGCCCACTTTGGTGAAACCAATCACACCTAAAACAACAGGTGCACCTATCAATGCCACCCCCGCCGTGACTCCTGATGCAGCTGCTATTGCCACAATCTCTGAAATAAGTGACATTTAGATGTATAATTTCTTAACCAATGAGAATCTAGATAACTATATGACTGTCGGTGATTATCAAGCGTCTCGAATGTCAAGCCCTACGGAAAATCCAAGGGTAACAGAGGTTTGTTCTATTAAGATCTGATTTGTATCAAAATTGAAGTAAACATTGAACGCGAGTAAATTCGGGATGTGATACTTTCGGAATTAAATAAAATTTAATTTGGTAACAATGGAAATAGCTTGGTAGTAAAAGTCTGAGAGGTAAGTTCATCGTTGAAAATGGGGTTTGGTATCCTGAGGAAGCAAGCAATACAGATCGAAAGGCTTTACAGAAGACAAGATTACACTTTTTACGTGCTGCATTATGGCGAAAAAATTTAGCCTTATTTTCTCTATTTTTAACATTTTTTTTCTTTCCATTTGTTTTGACAGAGTGGTTTTTTTTTTTTTGCTTCTTGATTTCTTTGTATTATCTTTTTTGTAGCAATTCGAAACGGTTATGTAGCTAACTTTTGACAAAATTATTGTGATTTTCCTCGGCAAATCAAAATAAAAACTTTGGGAATATTCAAGGCAGTCAAATGAATTTGCGTAGGTGAATGCTGTATCTATTCTAATTCTCATTATCGTGGAAGTTTATATACCAAACAATTGACTTATATATACTATTTTGGGGGGAACTCATTGACAATTAAAAGGTGAATCAAAGCTTTCTACAAAGTGGCTAATTGTAGATCCTGTGTCATAGAAAATGAAAGCTACACTAGTATAATTTTACTTTTTATCATTTTTTTTTTTTAAAATTTTTAAATCTCCAAATATATCTGAAACCTTTGCTACAGTTTCCCTCCTTTTGACACATTTTAATCTACTGTGTCAATCATTCTCTTGATATTTTGTTTTTTTCTGTTATATTATCTAAAAAATGAACGATAATGTGTTATTTCTCGTAATTATAAAGTATTCGAACTTTTGAAACTTACCCTTGTTCGAAAAAGATAAGGATTAATTTTTCAAGATCCGAAACTAAGCGACCATTCTTAATGAACTAGATTTTCTGGAAGCTGATTTACACAGGAATTTGTTACCTGCATTTAAACAAATACAGTTTACTGATGCAAGATAATGATGTGTTTAATTCCTTCAGTTTTTTGGCATGCACATGTTTATTCTTTGCGATTCTTTTGTACGGGCGTTTCTGCGTTTTTTTCTGCGTTTCTAAACTACTGGATCAGTCCATTTGCCTTCTACAAAAGGGGTGACACAATTATTTCGCGCCAAATGTCACATGTAAATTATCTTCGCGCCTTTTTCTTGGATTGTTCTATTGAATGGGTGATGGGTGAATGGGTGATATTCTATGGAAATAAATAACGTTTATTCTTTTAACCTGATTCTTAAGCTTCAGATTTTTTATTAACAGTAAATTTTATCTCATTTTTAAAAGAACACATTGTATATGGGCAGGCAACACTAAAGCAATGGATTTGCTGATTATTATTACTATAATCCCATAAGTGAACTAGTCCAATCATAAGCAAACTCCCTCGACCTAGTAAATGGGACATTTCTTCTTGATTCAGCCTGTTTCCCACCTTTACTTTCAATATTACATTTATTAATAATGTACGTTACAAGGTTAGGTTTTTAAAAAAGCTTAGAAAGTCAGCCAGTAGCATATTATTTCATGCTTTGTGATGAACAAGGATAGTGACAAGAGTAGGTCAGTTCCCATAGAGGAATGGGCTTAACTCCCGTAAGGTTCTAAGCAAAGAATCGGCAAAATGAGGAAGACATCATGATCTGTACTAGTTTTCATTTCATATAAAAGCACGATATTTTAATTATGAGAAATGTCCTGATATCGATTGAAAAGAAAAACTAAACAATTTTAAAACTGCACATAAAGATGTATTTTGAAACTCATTTATAATACATGTATATGGTAAGACCATCAGCGCGTGAGTTTCGTCCGGGGGGGGGGGGTTATTAGTGTCTTGTTTTGCTCTAGCTATAAAGTGTACATTCCATTTACTTTGAGTTCTAGAGCAGCATTGAAGCATTTTTGTCTCAAACACTTCAAGAAAAACAGAAAAAAATGTTAATAATTTACTTCGACGTCGAGAACGACGGAAAACAGAACAGTCTATAGGCCGTCTCATCAATCTATCACTGACCAGAGAAGTGCGCCCTCTAGTAAGAGAGTACATGTAATATGAATTTCTTTAGAATCATCTAACTATTTTCCCCAAAATTATAATCTACGCTATCGCACTTAGAGTTAGAGTTTCATCCCAACGTAACTTGTCAGCCCGTGGACTAACTAATAAATGATTGAATGGTGGCATGTCTTAGATATTTGTTAATCTGCAGTATATGGTTATGAGATTTGAGAAAGTCAATTGTATATCTTGTGTAATGAAGTATCGCAACTATGTCGCTCCTGATGACGGAAACGTTTAGCACTTCTCTTGCTTATACGTTCCATAGATATTGATTGATTAGTCAGGCAAGCTTTTTAAAAAGCTATATTACTTGTTACTAGTACTATTTGTCGTAGAAGAAGGGGCCGCTGACATGAACTTTCATATTACCGATTTCATCCTTTGAATGATACAATTTTTTCTACGAGATCTTAAATTGTAGCATATTTACATGTGAGTTTGAAATACCCGAGCTATATTTGTTCTATTTGTACACCACGTCATATATTCGTGTCTATACTTTACTGAATTCTAGTAACCAAAAAGTTACAATTATGAACAGCATCACACATATTTGTAATACATGTACATGTATATCAGAAAATAATTTTTATAATGTATACATTCTAATGTTGAATGTCTAATTCCACCCTCTTCTTACAAGGGTCTGATAGGCTATACATAAAACTGGTATGTGGACAAAAAATGTGTGGCTGAATTCCTTTAAAATAATATAGAGATTTTGTATCTTAGATCAACATATTAAAAATGTCATTATGAATCATATGTAAGATTCATTAAATTTGGAACCAAAGCTCGAATTTGAAGAAAAATGATTTTGGTAAAGTATATATATTTTGACTTATGCTTGAGATGCTTCATAATACCGTAGCCAGAATGCACGAAGAAATACAAGTATTGTTAATATATATACAGCAGAAACAAGTTCCATGACGCAACAATTAATATATAATGCGCCAGCCACCGAATTCTTCAGAAAAGACGACCTACATTACAGGAGGCATCAATATTATGGAACCCCAGAACGATTCTACCATACTGCTAACATTCTAACAATACCTACAAAATGATATATTGATGCAAGGCATCAATTAATCGGCCGCAAAATCATGGTACCCTGGATATATGTCACATAATAAATGATGTCGATGATTTCTGCAGATGATGGACATCACAGTTACTGTAAACGTGTGGTGTCCCGGAAAGGGCTATTTGCAAAAGTGCAGCAGCACGTACGTTGTTCACAACATGCTGTCGCGCTAACACACAACACGCCGTCAACCAAACACAACTTTACACAACATGCAGTCGCGCTAACACAAATCACGCCGTGAAGCTATATACAATACGCCGAGGCTCTAAAACAACATTACACAATCCGTTCTTAATAACGCAACGAGTTGTATTTTATGTTACATTATAATTAGCGAGATGGTGTGTAACTTTGTGTTATATTAGCGCGACGGCGTCTTGTGTAAAGCCATGTTAACGCGGGGGAGTGTTGTGTGAAAGCGCACCAGCGTGTGTGTAAAGTCGCATTAGCGTGACGACGCGTGTTGTATCTTTGCGCGACAGCGTGTTTTGAAGAGCTGTCTTAGCCAATCTGATTGTAACAGACTGGCGGCTTGTAACTCAGTAGCTGTTGCACTTTTGCAAATGATCCAATTGGGACACCATTTACACAACTCGTCGAAAAAAAATATATTCGTGTGTCATAGACAATTGTAGCAAATTCAACTCTTGTGTTCAAGCTAAGTACCTATTAAAAGTACTGTTATTATCCGGTAAATCGTATCGAGCGGCTTATATATATTTGAATAAATAAAAAACAGAATGCTATAGTCCAAATTAGATAAAATCTGTACTGTTAGCGCTTCAGCCATGTTGGCTCTTCAGACAGTTATCAGTTATAATAGCTGCTGTACAGGTAATATATCTATAACTGTCTGAAGAGCCAATATGGCTGAAAGTGCTAACAGTACAGATTTTATTTAATTTGGACTATAGCATTCTGTTTTTATTTATTTAAGTATTTTTTACTGTCCCAAGAATTTAACATATCAACGTATATATATATATATATATATATATATATATATATATATATATATATATATATATATATATATATATATATGTATATATATATAGTGCACTTCCTAACACAACCACAAATAGACCGGCCGCTCCTGCCAATGACAATGACAAGGAACTTAAAAATATTCTCATAACTGATGACATGATATGTACAAAGTGCACAAACTATGGAACGCCTTCACTGCCTTATAGCAGAACAATTTAATTACATTGAGTCAACCTCACATACATTGTATCAACTCATTATGGCGTTATAATAAAAGTTTATTATGTGATGTGAACATATCTTTACATTATCTCAACTGGATATTACGTGAGGTTAAATGTTCATGACGAGATGTAATGATTTGTTCACATCATGGCGATTCAGTGCTACATCAAGTCAAAAATTCTTAACTTTATGTAAAAATTCATTAATTTTATGTCAACTTACCTATTATATTATGTTAACTCTTTATCAAATGTTCTCGAAAATTCATGATTTCTCTGAAAATACCTACTAGATATTGTATCACCTTATCATTATATTATGTGAACTCTTTACTATATGGTGCAAGTAGTTCATTACATTATGTGAATTTATCCTTATATCAATATTAAGTCTTTATTATATGATGTCAGAATTTCATTACATGATCACAGGTACTTGTGGACAGGACCCCCCCCCCCCCCCCTCTAATATGCCCCACAGGTCAAAAAATATTTTTATGTATTTTTTTCATAAATTATTCTTCTAGTACACATTTACAATGTATTCCATAAGAAAAATCCAAAAAAATAACGCAGAATTAACGTTTTACTAAAAAATCATACCCGCGGTATTATAAAATAGAGAAGGTAAGTCACTTCCATTTGTTTACACTGGACCCCTCTTGGATATCAGGCCCGAAGTATCATTTACCTAATACATGTCACCGAAATGTGTCATGATATCTTGTTTCGGTAGATATTTTTGTCTTTAATCGTGCTATTTAATTGCCCAGGCATCCCATAATAATCCGAGTATTCATCGTCAAACGTGAAAAATGCTACAAGATTTGGAAATGTCAGAGTAGAAATTACGGAAGTGATGCAAAAACGACACCTAGCGTGTAACTCTCGAGTTCCGAGTGTTATAGAACTAAGGGAAAAGTCAGAGGTCTACGAAAAAGTTCGGGAAAATGTTGATAAAGAAGTCGAAATTGATTCATTAGAATTAAATTCTGATTAAGATTTTCGAGATGAGCGAGGGTAGTCGTCAATATTCCCTTTAAAGGATGTTATCATTGATACCAAGTAGCGGTTTAAAAATCGCTTAAACATTTATTTACAACTTACAAGATATGTAACCCCCCTTCCCCTTCTACATGGACATGCTTGCAATTAATTCCGATAATATTAAGCTTAATAATTATGTGTATTTTTTAATATTCGTATGCGATGATTATCATTTGCCAAGGAATTTAAATGTGAGTCTTTTCAAAATTAATTCTTAAGAATGAAAATCAGAACCCCATTTTTTTTTTTAAATAATTTTCATGCTCTTCTTTACTTTCGCGTCGCACTGCTGAGTTTATTTCTGGCCTTGATTACATATATATCAAGCTGCTATTATTTTAATTGAACAAACGGAAGCTTAACTTCTATAAAATAAAGACTTTTAAAAAAGTTCTTTTGGTACGTCTTTTCTAACAGTCATAGTTAGATAATTGCAACTTGTATTACGTAGCAATTGACGTTTAAATATTGCATGGGTTGTACAACCATTCATCAACCGGTCAATTTGTTTTTCTCCAAAACTGTAACTTGTAATGACGTTGCACAGCCCCCGTCCCCAAATTAATCAATATTGATTAAATACATGTAGCGAATTCATAACAAATGGGGAAACAAAGAGATTTTTTGTACAGTTTTAAATAATCACATTTCTGTCTTTACTTATTTTTAAAACTAGTTTATCATTCTAAATATTATATTTACTACCACATTAATTTAACGGATATCCACCTTTCCGCAGACACAATTTAATGAAAATTCCATGTCCACGCAGATGGGGAAGGCGGCCGAGGTGGAGTGGCGGGGGGGTTACATGTCAAGTTTATAATGTTTAAGAGATTTTTAAACCGCTATTTGGTATCAATGATAACATCCTTTAAAGGGAATATTGACGACTACCCTCGCTCATCTCGAAAATCTTAAGCAGAATTTAATTCTAATGAATCAATTTCAACTTCTTTATCAACATTTTCCCGAACTTTTTCGTAGACCTCTGACTTTTCCCTTAGTTCTATAACACTCGGAACTCGAGAGTTACACGCTAGGTGTCGTTTTTGCATCACTTCCGTAATTTCTACTCTGACATTTCCAAACCTTGTAGCATTTTTCACGTTTGACGATGAATACTCGGATTATTATGGGATGCCTGGGCAATTAAATAGCACGATTAAAGACAAAAATATCTACCGAAACAAGATATCATGACACATTTCGGTGACATGTATTAGGTAAATGATATTTCGGGCCTGATATCCAAGAGGGGTCCAGTGTAAACAAATGGAAGTGACTTACCTTCTCTATTTTATAATACCGCGGGCATGATTTTTTAGTAAAACGTTAATTCTGCGTTATTTTTTTGGATTTTTCTTATGGAATACATTGTAAATGTGTACTAGAAGAATAATTTATAAAAAAAATACATAAAAATATTTTTTGACCTGTGGGGAATATTAGGGGGGGGGGGTCCTGTCCACAAGTACCTGTGTACATGATGTGAAAAAATGGTCACATATGGTTAATCCTTTACTACATTATGTTAACAATATGCTACATGATGGCGGAAATCCATTACGTGATGTGAATTTGCCTTTACGTTTCGGCATTTCATTATTACGTTATGCCACTGTACCTTTACAGTGTGCATAGTCTGTTGTCAGCGTATCTTATATTATTTCAGCTCTTTGTGTGAAGTAAAAATATCTTTATACGATACAGAAAGTTTACTATATGAAGTTTATTTATACCGACCATTACACAGATTATACTCCTTCATTAGGTTATGCCGAAAGTTCATTTTGTGGCATCAATGTTATGTTAGGCACGCAAAATAAAAAGACATCTAATATAAAATTATATACTAGACCTAATTATTCCTCAATTAAATATCAAGTTTAAACTTATGTAGGATTAAGTTACTGTAGAATCTTTATTAACTGATGTAAAATTATTTTTCTTTAACGCCGAAATTCGATCACGTAAGTTTAATCTGACAATTTTCGTCCATCAAATGTTACATAAAATTTTGTTTTATGCAGTAAAAAGGTTTTTTTTTTAAATTATGAATTATTCTTTCATAAAAGTCTATTATTTCTAATCTTTCTACAAGACATTGTCTTTAGCTTTTTATCATCTGTTAACCATCCCTTTTTTCAATAAGTGTAAACTCATCTTATCACATGTGTGTGCGTGCTTTCTATGGCACGGACATTTGGTTTAGATGGGGGGGGGGGGGGGTCAGATTTTGGAGATAGATATTCTGGCCCTGGAATGGTTGGAAAAAAGACTGGTTCACCCCAATCCCCCTCTAACAGGACCGTACGCAACGGTTTCAAAGTTTTGGGGGGGGGGAACTTCTCAAAAAAAATCTGACCAAAAAAAAAAACAAAACAAAACCAAAAAAAAAAAACACCTAAATTGACCAAAAAAAGGGGGGGGTCAACTTCCCCAAATATTCTGACAAGCAACAAAAAGGAGGGGGGGGGGGGCAAACAACATCTAAAGGTCAATTTACTACAGCAAAATATTATACTCAGAAAAAAGCCCCCCCCCCCCACCCGCGTTCTACGGGTCTGTCACAGTACCGAAATCGCAGTCTTCCACGTCCACTCTACACTAAATCGACGCAATTATGTCCTCTTTCAACAACACAAACGTAAAGATAAATTCACTGAAAACGTACCAAACATTCGTTATCAAGTAATGAGTATTGACATATTAAAGATGTTTTCACATTACATATAGTAATATTTCGAGAGATACAGATTTGAAATAATGTAAATGTATTTTTACATCACGTAATGAACTTTTGGCACCAACGTAATAAAGGGTTAACACAATATTAATTAAGACATTTTTACATCACATCAGAAAGAGTTAACATAACCTAACTATATATCCACATCATGGGATGGAGTTTTGACATTATGTAATAAAGAGTTGATATAATATAAAGATATGTTCATATTATGTAATGAAAACTTTTTCACACAACGTAATAAAGTATTGACATAACGTTAAGATATATTCACCTCACATCATCGTGCTTTTGGCGTAATATAAAGATACATTCACATCCCGTAATAATGCTTTGATATAATGTAAAGATACACTCACTTCAAGAAATGGGCTTCTGACCTAACGTAATGCTAAGTTTAATTTATGTAAAGATATTTTTACTTTACGTAATGCAATTTTGACATCACGTAATAAAGAAATGAAATGATGTAAAGAAACATTCATTTCACGCAATAAAGTTTTGACACAGTGTAAAAATATTTTCACTTCACATAATGAACTTCTGCCATCAAGTTATAAAGTGTTAACATAATGGAAGAATATATTTACTTCGTGTATTATAGTATTGACATAATGTTAAGATATTTTTACCTCACTTCATAAAAAGTTGACATCACGTATAAAGGTATGTTCACATCACGTAATGATAAGTTGACATAATGAATGTATATTTTTATCCTATAAGGCAGTGATGGCGTTCCATACAACTCTCTCAATTATAGTACCCAAAAGTGTACACATTTTGCTAAGTTGATTTTAATACTTGTTATTTGTTGCATCAAAAAGCATTTCAAATTTGAAAATAAAATTGATTCGTTTGAAAATATATCGGTAAATACATAACCCGAGAGTTCTTTAAAGATACATCAGTACATTTGATTAAGTAATGAAATTCATCCCCAATTTTATTGCAGTAACATAATTTACAAATTCCGTTTTCTTTAGGGATTAAACATGATTAAGTTACTTACTATGTGACTCCATTATTTTGGTTGTGTCCATATATCATGAGCCTAGGGTAGTTATGAATGATAACAAGAAAAAGTATGTCGGTCAGCTCAACGAGATCCGGTATCCTCAATAAATTTGAAAAGAATAAATAACTTTATCTATTCTTTTTAATAGTTTAATCAACGTTTAAATTTTTGTTTTAAATACAAATAATAAACAATTAGTTATTTTTTATGCAAGTTTTTTCCCCATACGAATTTAATAATGCAAGGAATGACTTTGACATTTTCGCGCGGTTTCTAATCAAAACAAAAACATGCCGGCTGTCAGAAAGTTTAGAAACTACCAAGAAGTACAAGCATTTCTCGAAGATTTAGAAAAAAGAAAAACAGCAAGATTCATTACACAGAGAATTAGCAATAAAGGACACTTTCAAGTAAAGGGAGATGGTACGGAAAAGTATTGAAAGCTGATTAACTACAACTTATCACAAATAATGAAGGCTTTTTACGATTTGCATAGTCGATACAATACTTAGATAAAACTTTTGCTGGAAATGGTAATTTAGTGAAGAAGGCTTATAACGATTCGAATGATCGACACTGAAAGTATTAAAAACGTTTAATTATTTGTTATCAATCGCATCTTCCCGGGCCTTTCCTGCAAGCTTGGAAAAACAAGTGGTTGTTTTTCGGCTTGTCGGAAAGGCCCGAGAAATTGCGATTGATTCGTTTTCACTTGGTATCAACCAACAGGAAGAATTTATTTTATTTTACGAAACGATGAAATCAGATTGAAATCAACGTTATTGACAGCCTTGCACCTTTCAATATTGCCGTCGATCAAGTCCTCGGTCTTCTCCGATTGTATGTTATCTAAGGATAAACATGGTAAAAATTAGGGAAAACTGGGGGAAATGTGCTGATTGTGTATTCCTTCTAATTTTTTTAAAGAACAAACAAAAAGCAAGGTATTTCGAGGTAACATTTTACCTGCACTTCCTCTGACGAACAACAAAACAAGTAATATACAAGACCATCAAAGACATTTGCTAAAAATATACAAAAATATTAATGAACTTTAAAGCGACACTGTGACGGACAAACGGGAAAATTGACAACAGTAGAATTTTTGCATGGCACATGCAAATTTTGTTCAGTTCTTGAAGATATTAGGTTTCAGAAAATTACAGGTTTCAGAACCTAAAAAATCTAAATTAATGGAGAAAAATAAAAGTAAAATAAAAATCTTTGTAAATATTGCTTCACTTCTTCCTCTTTATTGTACGCATGCGCTGAAAAGTTGAAGAATTTACCATGGTTTCAATTCCATAGATATAAATGTCGGATGACTGAAAATTTTGATGCAATCTTCAAAAAAGATGATCATAACTTATTCCTTACTTCTGCTTGCCCCAATTCAATGTTGTTTACAAGTTCCACGCTAAAAATAAAGGACGCGTGACCTTGACTTTGTTGACATTGACGATAAAAACAAAGCGATAGATACAACATTTGTTTTTCCGACACTTATATTTTGCAGTTTTTTTCTTGCTTTACAGTGCAGTTAAGTTGTCAAAACTTCGCTATATTCATATTTCACAGAAATCTTTTGTTTTGTGATACAATTTTCTTAAAAGAAACACATGGTTTTGACCCATTATGCAACTATAATTTAATTCTGGTTGTCACGTTGAATTTGATTGGATAAAAAATTTACTTTATATCGTATAAAATGGGTTGCCTACGTCACAATGACTTGCGTCAAAAACGTATCAATCCGCCTGACGTTACATTCAAATTTTGTACAAATTGAAGTCATTTTTTTTAAGGACAATCATCTTTTTTTCCTACACCAACTGAAAGAATATTAAATTGTATCAAATTTATACGGTATAAACTGGGTTGGAACAGTTTACGCTTTTTTATAAACCGCTTCGCGGTTTATAAAGCGTAAACTGCCCCAACCCAGTTTATATCGTATAAAATGGGTAGCTATTAAATTCATTCCTTAATTAAACGGAAGATATGTGTCTATGCAACATACTAGTATTTAATCATAAAAAATAATAATAATAAAATACATTAATAAAAATAATAATTATTAAATATTAAAAATATTAATAAGAAAAAATAGTAAAAAAAACCGTGCGCGTTGAATGCATTTTCTTACCACTCTTAAAATTATAATAAGGAATGAAATAGCTTATAAAAGCGAGCAAGAGTTGTTCCTAAAAAAAAAAAAAGAACTTTAAAAGAAGGAGAAAAAACACCTTCCCTCACATCAGGGGTTTGCTCATGTATTAAATAAGGAAGAAATAAAATTAGGGATTTCCATCGCTGCAGTTGACCGAGAATTATTTGAGATGACAAAGAGTAATACACACGGATACTCGTGAATACTTTGTGTCCAGTATAAATTCAAGTACCACTTACAGTTCAACGAATGTGACATTTACTTATTTACTCCAGAAGGTCAGGGCTAAATCAGTGACTCATTGCTCACTCGAATCAACAATATTCTTGCTGGGACGTAAAAGACCATACATTAAATCAAGTTTTTGATATGGTCGAGACTATGGTCGAGAGACCATAATTTCACCAACCTATGTTTGCTTATTTTTGTGTGACTTACTTATAGCCTTGCTTTTCTGAAGAACATTTTAATATTGAATCAAATCTATAAAATCCAATCTTTATTTATTGATGCTAATTGTAATACTAAACTTTTACCATACGCTTGAATCTCGAATTTCGTAGCTCGAACCTCGAATGAGCCTTCTGGTCTTTCGTATTATACTCATCGCAAACCAGTTATTTATTTAATTGTGTTGCAAATGTTTCTTGAATCGCGAAATATATTTGTCACCGATACATTGCAAGCTGACAAATAAAAAAAAATGTTCCAAATGAAAGTTGGCTTGCAGTATCAAAATGCTTTGAAGAAGTCTTTTATACAACTACTCCACATTATTATTCTTCATTTTTCAGGAATGGAGCAGCACAAAGCATAACATTTTTTTTTTTAATTTTCATCGAAGATTACCTATGATATTAACAGTTTATCACAATAAAAATCACGATTATTTATTATCTTTGACTTGATATATGATATAGACTAAGATGAAAAAATATGTTTTTTATTGTTAAAGCTGATCTTTAAAGCAAAAGAGAGAGGAGTGAATCAAAACTTGTCTGTACCAATTTATAATTATATTTTAAAAAATCGAAGCTAGTTGAAGTAAGAGACCATTGGACTGCAACGATCATCTGAGTCACATTGGGTTAGGCCATTAATGTCCCCCTCCATTTTTTTTGTAATGAAAGTTTTTGTCCTTACCTTGTGAACCCACTCCAGCCCCAATGGATCAAATCAATGCGAATACTCTGTGATGTAAGCAGTTAAATTCCATACATAAGTTTGCAGCAATTTTCATAGAAATATAGCTCTATTTTTTTTTAAATTAGCAGATTCAAACATCCATTGAAATTCTTAGATTGCCAAATCATGTGAGCAATTCTGATTCACTAGCAAATATAGCCATGCAATAAAATTGTCATCTCAAAGATGGAACTTTACATTATAAAAAATTAAAAACTTTCATTATGAATGTTTTTGTGTTATAAATTAAATGGACACAAATAAAAGAAATGACGTGTCATATGACTAATCATGTTACTAATTAGAGTCATACATTAAGAGTGGACAATAAATATTGCCAGCTGTTTCAAAAATTTGATTGATTATAGAATTAAAAAATGGTATTATAGAAATAACTGGAACATAACACATTTTCATTTTTGTCATGAGAAATGTTTTAAAGACATTGGGATAATACATTTTTGCAAAGTGAGATAATTTTTTCTGCTCAATTTTATTCAATATTACTCTGTAAGATTGATTGATTGTTGTTTTACGTCTCTTGCAAAAAATTTCCACTCGTGCGAGACGTAATTCTGTTAGAAAAAATGGACCCAAAATCTATTTAGGTAAACGTACGAAGTCCATATACCGAGACTAACTACCTGATAGTGATGCACAAAGCTCAAATGAAAAACTTAGCAATTAAATAAACTGGTATTATTTTCAATGACTGTGTTTAAAAAACAGATTTTAGTTTTAACCGATTTACTTGTAAAATTCAGTTATCACCACTTTTTACATTTGTTTACATTTGAGAAAAGAGAATTTGAAGCAAACTATTGTTAAAGTTTTAAACAAGAAAACTAAATATTGACTTTGTTTATCGCGTTATAAATGAAATGAGTTTTTTTTATACAATGAAAACAATTGCTTGACAGATTGATGATGATGATCTTAAATATGATTTTTGGTGCAAAGTTGCAAATGGTGCTTGTTTTGTTCCGTCTGCATGTCAAAAAATATATCGATTTTATAAGGCAACATTACTAAACTATGTAAATGTACAAGTAACAAAGAATTTGTTTACAACAAATAATAAAACTAAATATTTTAAGTAGTTGACCTCAGTTGTAGTTGTCCTTAGGATTAATATTGCCGAAGAGGCAATTATAACCTAATGGGAATTCCAAGATAAGCAACAATTGTTTAATAAATGGTACATGTACTTTCATTTTCCAATAGCTAAGGAGGACAAGGGATTGAGAAAGTGTGAAAAGGCCGTGAATGCTCAAACTTTAAATAAATAACAGAAATGAAAATAAAATGAAAAATAAGCCATTTATTTACAGACATTATTTTTTCTATTTTTTCCTTCTACATGTATTGTGTCCTGTATATTATTTTGACACAAAATGAGCATTTTAACAAATTTTATTATTATACCTCATTATACTACTACCACTACTACTACTCCTACTACTACTAATGATAATATAAAACGCGTCAGTTGTTTAAACACTCATGTAACTCAGAGAATAAAGACGTCAAATATCTTGGCCTCAGCAACCAGGCTAGCAATATTGTCTTACCTCTTCGGAACACTATCACATTTTTGCTATCAGAGTTATCTTTCTTGGCTTAGAAAACCCAGCAGATGTATACAGTCACTGCAGGCCCATCGGAAGGAAAGAAGGGCAATAATTTTCCGTGTACATACTATAAAGTAGGAAAAATCCTTATCTGCTGTTGTACCCCCTCAATAACTTTCCCAGTATACAGCTTCGTGTAGTTTTTATATTTTTATCAGAAATGGAAGTCACATTTTTACAATGTGATATTGTGTAACGAGACAACAAAATATATTTTAAAGTTGAAGGTTTATCTTATTTATTTTCATTTCAATGATTAAAAATATAATTCAGAAATAATATTTGGGAGGACTTGGATATACCCTTGCTTTACAATTCAAAAGATATAGCCCGAAAAGATTTGACGATAGATAGCAAAAGAATTCAAATACAAAGAGAAAATATCTTAAAATTATCTGAAACATTCCCTTCAAGATACATCAATTGTATTAAGATTTCAGGATTCATGTAGAGGAAAAGTTAATAACACATAAAAGGTGCATCAAATGGTCACAATTTTGATACTAGAATTTAAGTGATGAGAAGGAATAATTCGCCTTCTACTTTGTTTTACTTAGGTCCATGTAAATTACTTTACCAGAATGAGGCGAAATTGATGCATAAACAAGGCATGAAGGGGGCCTATGGGTTTCTATTACGCAATACTTCGCGCATTATAGTGAAATAAAGGGTATTTACACTTTTGAAATGATAATGTTACAAGATATATAAAATTCAACAAAATTAATTAGTCACAAGTAAAATATTTGTAAAACATTGTTGAAAAAAAACATTTTAAAACAATTTTTCAACTTATAGGTAAATGGCGTCGTTTTAGTGTGTTTGTTATATTATGATAAACTGAAGTTTCTTAAGGAGGGATTCTTGTCTTGTTTCTGTCTGAATGAAATACTCAATATTTTAATACTAATATTCAAAGTATATTGCTTACATGTCTTTTATATTAAGCTGTTATGGATTTTAAGGATAATATATTTTTTTCCTTTTCGTAATTGTACAACTTGAAATAGAAATGCCAAACCGATTTTGAAATCTAGCAGGGACTATATTTTGGCGGAACGGCGGCGTATGAAAATATAACCTTTTCTGCCTCTCAAAATTACTTCAGAACAATGAATTTAGTTGTCATTTTTAAACAATGAAAGGCTTAAAAGAAATTTTTGAAGTAACTAAAATAAATAATTATTGACTGAATGAAATATATTGAGATACCGAACAGTATTCAAGCTCAAAAATTAAACAATGCAAATTTTGGAGCAGAGCAAACACGGACATCTAAAACATCAGAGATGGGATCAGGTCATGTAGTTTTAAAATATATCAAATAAATACGATTTTCCTAACAAACAAAAATCTTGTGAGCCTTTGAAAGCTTCCCATCCAAGGACATATTTTATCAAAAAATCAGTAAAAAATATTTTTCTCTCTTATCAAACGGCCAGAACGTTTTGATTTGTATCATTTTGTACCTCTACCTGGTCCAATATCTAGTAAGTTGAATTATTTATCTCAGTTTGGTAGTATTATCTGATAGACTTTCTGTGATATAATTTTTTTTGCAAAAAGAAAAAAAAAATCTTTTGAAATAGAAGTAGGCATCACATGATTGGCAACAGTCATTTTTTTTTTTTAAATTTTAATGTCAATGGAAGGTAATGACCTTGATGTGACCTTGCTTTTTAAATAAAACGGTCAAATTTAATATCACTGATACCATCACTTAGTGACAATGCCTTCTTGAATCTATGAAAATTTCATTAATTTTTAAATACAATAAATGTGAGAAGAATCCCTCCTTAAGAGGGGGTTATAAAAAGTGTTATAAAAAAAAAAAAAAAAAAAACGCACCAAACATATGCTCTTGAATTTTTCATACAGGAGGTTTAAGATCTTACAATTTTTTCAAATTTTCGTAATAAATCCTTATTGTGCCCTGTTAACAAATTTGTATTTTTTGTAGGTTTTCTTTTCTGTTCTTTTTTTAATAGATCGATCACTTTTTCATTAGTATCTCTCATATTTATAGTAGTCCATAAAACAGGAAAACAGTAAACTTTGACATTTTGAGATTCCTCCTCTTGAAACCAGACAATATAAATTTGCGTTTCCTACATATGATGCACAATATTGTATTTAATTCTTATCACATAAAATGATTTAAACAAAACATCTTTTGTTGTATTTTTTTTTTTTAAAAGTGTCCCCCTACAATCATATAGTAAATGTAAATGTATTTTGAGATGGTCCCTAAAAGAACCCAGACGGGTAATTTTCTTGAAACTTACACATGACTCAGTGTAGGCTACCAATGACGTAAAATTAAAGTTTTTCTATCGTAGTTTATACAAATAACCCAGTCGGCTACCTTTCATATCTTTGAGTATCCTTTCTCCTGGATATATATTGCACTCAATCTGTCACGTTGTACAGTTTTTGAAAAATGAAAACTCATTAAAAATTGATTTTGTCCTGGGTATAAGTTGATAGATTCGTCATATATCAAGAGTTAATTCTTTGACGCAAACTAGATTTCTTGTAAATAAGCAATAAGCAACACAATGTCAGTGAAATCATGATAATTGTCATAGAAGTTTTAACCAAAGAGGAAAATAAATGATGTGTTATGCAAGTAATTGAAATCCATATCTTATGCTTGTCAAGTCATGATATGCAATTGATCATTGTAGTGTTCTCTTGTACCAACGACACAGGTTCAATTCAATGTCTTTATTAACATGGACACATTCTGGCATTGTATAACAAAGTCCTTGTCTCTGACATAGTATGACAAAGTCCCTGTTTCTGACATAGTATGATAAAGTCCCTGTCTCTGACATAGATTGACTACAAATGAAATGTAAATATAATAAATACTTGTACTCAATACAGAATGTACATATAATGTAACCTTTTATCAATATAAATCATGACACAAAAAGTGCTCCTTATATTAAACTTTGTAAACAGTGGTAATATGACAAATTCCTACTCAAATTCAATGTAACAAGTAAATGCATATAGCAGACAGTATGTAATAAATAATTAATATATAATTACAGTGATGTATGTCTGGTACTTTCAGCTAGAACACAACAAACTACTGCACTCATTGATCTAAAAATGGCGCTCGTGCATTTCTCAACATTTGATAAACGTATCATTCTGATAAAATTGGAATGCACAGAAATCGAAACTTACGGACAAAATTGGAATTCAAAATAAAATATACAGATTGTCCATTACACCGGCCCATAATGTGTTTTTACAAAAACATATTTATCAAAAATGGACAAAACAATGTATCCAAAATGAGTTAATTCATTAAACGTTTCATTGCACAAAGGTTCACTGATTTGTTTTCTCTTTTTCACAATCTGTTTCCAAAAGAAGACAAAGTTTTGTCACTGGCCGCGTAATAATGGAAGACACTGTCTTTATCCTTGCAACACGCACAACATCATAGTTGTCCTTTATCACTTCGAGCACTCTACCAAGATTCCATGCGTTTCTTGGAGTGTTTTCCACAATGAGAACTAAATCACCCTCTTGTAAGTTTCTTTCCTGCTTCAGCCACTTCTGTCTCTGTTGGAGAAGGGGTACATATTCTCTGATCCAACGTGTCCAGAAAACATCAGCCAAATACTGAATCTGCTTCCATCGACGTTTTGCGTAGTTGTCAGATGTATGGAAAATTCCAGGGGGAAAGCTCTCTCCTTATCTCATGAGTAGTATATGATTTGGTGTAAGTGCACAAAGGTCATTCGGATCATCTGAAGCTTCTGTAAGGGGTCGTCCATTCATAATAGCTTCAATTTCACAAAACAAGGTTAACAGTCCCTCATCATCCAAATGAATTGTTTGTTCATGTAGAACAGAATACATGATTTTCCTGACTATCCTGATGAGGCGTTCCCATACTCCTCCAAAGTGAGACGCAGCCGGTGGATTAAAGCTCCATTCAATTCCTGACTGTAATACTTGACTGGAAATGCTGTTCGTATTCCAGGAATGAAGTGCTGTTCTTAGCTCACGTTCAGCACCTACCAGATTCGTTCCATTATCAGACACTATATAAGTTGGTTTTCCTCGTCGTGCAATAAGCCTTCGAATGGCGTCAATACAGGAGTCTGTATTCAAGGAAAAGGCAACCTCTAAATGTACTGCTCGGGAAGATAGACAAGTAAATATGACACCGTACCGTTTTACTATGCTTCTTCCTCTTTTAAGCTCAAATGGACCAAAATAATCCATTCCCACTCGAGTAAAAGGGGGGTCATCAGGTTTCAGTCTCTCGCTGGGAAGGTCTGCCATTTTCTGTTTCAAAGTAGGTGCCTGATATCTTCTGCATATAACACATCTGGAAATGATGGACTTCAAAATTGATGACACACCAAGAATCCAATATTTCTCACGAATAAGTGCCAGCGTTGAATTTTTTCCCAAGTGTCCGACAGATTTATGTGCTTCCTCTGCTATTAACCTGGCTAATACAGACTCTTTGGGAATAATAATTTGATGTTTACTGTTAAGAGTTGTATCCAGTTTCTTAAGTCTACCGCCTACACGTAGAACTCCATTGTGAACAATTGGGTCTAACTTGGCTAATCTTGATAACCTTTTAACAACTCCATTTTCACTTGAATTCAAGTCTTTAAATTCTTGGGCAAAATGCTTCATCTGCACATACTTCAAAATGTCTGTTTCTGCTCTGTCAAGAATGTCTACATTTAATGAAGGTCTTTGTGTATCATTTTTCAATCTGTTATGCTTTTCCTTCATTTCTAATTCTTGTATTTTCTCTTCTGTCAATCCCTCCGATATCATTCTTGATCTCCATTCTCTTTTCCTCTTCATTATTCCTTTGAGGTTTTCTCGCGATAAGAGTAGCCATCCAGTCACTGTTTTCAGCTTTTTCCAGGAAGAGAAGTGCTGGAGTAATCTCTCCATTCCTTCTACTGTTTCTGTTTCAACTGCTGTGTTGACGCTGTCCTTTATTTCAGCACTGTCAATTTCTGATGAGTCGCTAATGATTTCAGTAGACGGCCATGAAACATCTGCTTTCCATAACCACTCAGGACCACTGAACCATGCTGCTGAGTCAAGAAATCTACTTACTACTGGTATTCCCCTTGACGCAGAGTCTGCTGGATTATCTTTAAAGTTGACATAGTGCCACTGGTTGACTGTAGTTGCTGCATGAATTATGGCAAGCCTATTGGCAACAAATGTTTGAAAACGAGTTTTTGTGTTATTTATGTAACGAAGAACTGACATGCTATCTGTCCAGAAGTAAACTTGATCAACTTGGTATTCCAATTGTTTTGTAACTATCTTACATAATTTCACTGCTAAAGTTGATGCCGTCAACTCAAGCCTCGGTATTGTCACTGTTTTTAACGGTGCCACTCTTGACTTTCCAAGAACAAAGGAACAGTGGATTTGTCCAGTCTCACTGATGAGTCGTAGATATATAACAACTCCTATTCCAACTTCACTTGCATCTGCAAAACAGTGCAACTCCTGACATGTCGTCCTCCCGAAGTCTTGTGGCTTGTAGCATCTTTCAAGTGTTACATTTTCAAGTTCTTTTGCTTGTGTCAGCCAATTTTTCCAGTCCTTAAGCTGACTTCCTTTAATCTCTTCATCCCATCCAATTGAATTTTTGCACATTTTTTGAAGAAGTGTCTTTGCTGTCATCACAAAAGGTGACACGATACCAAGAGGATCAAATATTGAGCTCACTATTGATAGAATTCCTCTTCTGGTTGTTGGCTGATTTTTAATGTTTATCAGAAATCCTAAATGGTCACTGTTAACAAGCCAGTACACACCTAGTGCACGTTCTACAAGTGTTTCACTTTCACCTTTGAGGTTCCATTCCTGCACATCTTTAGCTCGATCATCTTCTGGAACAGATTCTAAGACTTGTTTTGAGTTATTAATCCATTTTGTCAGATGAAAACCACCTTTGCTACAAAGTGTAGACAGATCTTTAATGAGTAAGGCCGCTTTCTTCTCTGTGTCAACCGAAGCCAAACAGTCATCTACATACATATTCTTGAGTACTGTGGTCACCACTGTAGGATCAAAGTCGGAACCATATTCTTTAGCTGTCTGTTGTAGTGCATAGTTACAGCAAGTTGGAGAGGAAGTGGCTCCAAAGATGTGAACTTTCATTCTGTATTGTTCAGGGTTGGCATCCAGATTGCCATACTTCCACCACAGAAATCTTAGACAGTCTCGATCTTGTTCAGGGATTAATACTTGGTGAAACATAGCCTCAATATCTCCTTGTATAGCAATTTTCTCCTGACGAAATCTTAAAAGTACACCAAGTAAACTATTTGTTAGATCGGGTCCTTGGAGTAACTGGCTGTTTAGTGAAATCCCCATATACACTGCAGAGCAGTCAAACACAACTCTAATCTTCCCTGGTTTTTATCGTTGTAAACTCCATGGTGCGGTAGGTACCATACTCTGCCATCATCTCTTTGTAGCTGACTTTGAGGAACAGGTTCTGCATATCCCTTCTCAAACAGCTTATTCATAAAAGTCTCATAGTCATTTCTAACCTTTGGATCCTTTATCAGTTTCTTCTTTAGACTCCTAAGTCTCTGAAATCCTTGCATGATATTGTTGGGTAACTGAATTAAGGGATCCTTAAACGGAAGTCCAATTGAGTAATGACCATCCTGAATGTGAATAGATTCTGAAACTTGAGTTAAGAAGCTCTTATCTTCTAAAGAGTTTTCTTTTACATCATCCACAAGACGTTCTGGAAAGTCATAGTTTATGGAATCTTTCACCATCTTTTCTAAGTTTATGTCTCTTTCCTGAGCATCTTCTATAGCTACTCTGTTTATGTCAAATGTATCTGATGCATTTTCTCTTATGACATTCCATACTATCCATCCTAGTCGTGTCCTTGTTGCGTGGGGAGAACCACTTGGCCCAGCAATTACTTCCAATGGAGAGTAGGCATCTGGTATGTTATTTCCAATCATAATTCCAATTTCTGCATCTATTTCTGATGTTTGTATTGTTGACAGATGTGGCCACTGTTTTAACTCTTGCTGCGTTGGAATGTGTTCTTTTGATACAGGCATATGTTTCTTTGTATACACATTCGGTAGATCAATCACATGTTCCATTGAAAGTCCACACACTTGCAAACCACTGATAACATATGTGTTCAACCTCTGAGAATTCCCCATTGTCTTTATGGTGATTTGTTTCTTCTTGCCATTTGCTCCAAGCCTATGCATTATGTTTTCTGTACAAAATGACACACTGCTGCCAGAGTCAAAGAATGCATAAGTTTCTATGCTATACGGTTTATTTTTCAGTTTTACTCTCACTGGAATTATTGCCATAGCACAGGTTGTTTCTCCGGCCCCTTTATCACTAAAGGCACTGATGTGAGGTTTGGAGAACTTGCATGTAGTTTTGATATCTGTTGACATAGGATTAATGTTTTCTTTGTCTTCATCTGTACGTTTTGCTACACATTTCGCAGGATCATGTAGGATCGTAGGGTGACGCCTACTGCATATGGAACACTTAAGTCTTGCTTTGCATTTTTTAGTTATGTGGCCTTTCCTAAGACATCCATAACACTGTCCATTATTTCGCAGGAAGTTGTATCTGTCTTGAAGTCCTTTGGTTACAAACTTCTTGCAGTCATTCAGTGCATGGGTACTACTTTCACAGAATTCACATTTCTGTTCTCGTACGTTAAAGTCTTGTACTTCACTTATAACATCAGTAGACGCAACAGCTCTCTTCTGGTTACGATCTTGATTTCTGGAATTTCCACCAATAGATGCATTACCATACGTAGGATCATTCGATTTCTTAGCTTCTGTTTTCACAAAACTTACAAAATCTTTAAACTTCACTGTCTTCTTGGCTTCTTTAGTTTTCAGTACAACATTTCTCCACCTATCATGCATATACACAGGGAGTTTTGTCATAAGTCTCTTTATGTTGTCTGAATAATCTTAGACAGAAACACTATCGATGCTTTCAGCTGCGTTCTGACACTCCACAAGGAACAAGGAGAACTCATCTAGCATCTTTGCATCCTTCCATGCTGGCCAGTCTAATGCCTTCTTTATGAATGCTGTTGCAATTACCTCACTGTCTCCGTACCGCTCTTCAAGCTGATTCATAGCTGCTTTGTAGGCTCTGTCTCCTGACATATGACTAAATCCAGACACTACTCTGTATGCTTCCCCAAAAGTCATTTGCTCAAGATAATTCATTCGTTCATCATTGTCTTTAGTATTCATCACTACTTTGGTATTAAACTGTCTGACGAAACGTCTAAATTCTAATGGATTGCCTCCAAATTTTTTTTATCTCTGGTACAGGTTTCCGGAGGTATTGTACAACACACTGCATAGCATCAGATTCAGAGGTCTGTGGTTTTGTTTCATCTAGGCAATGAAGGTCAAGTGGTGGAATTTCTTCACGTTTGGGTATGAATGTCTCTGCGTTCGGATTCAGAGGCCTCTCAAACAAGGACGGTACTGATGCAAACTCACTCGGAAACAAAGGCGTTCTTGGCGTTGGTTTTGGTGCTAATGTTCTAGGATTCACAATATCAATGTTAGAAACATCATCATGCAAATCAGCATCACTACACCTTTCATATTTCTGAAGGACTTCTGTTTTAGCATTCGCAATAGCAATATTTGTATTCAAGTTCAACTCTTCTTCTTCAAGTTTTAGTTTGACTTTCGCTATCTCTAACTCCTTCTTATGGGAAAGTGCTGCTTTGCGAGCTTCTAACTCAGCTACTCTTTGTTCTTCTTCAAGGCGTTTGGATGATATACCTGTAGCTATAGATGTGCGAGACTTGGACTTCAAGCTTCTGACAGTTTCTTTTGTTGCTTCTACTTGTGATTCCTCCTTCACACTCTGGTGGTAGGAAAAGAACTCCTCTATTTCTTTCTTAAAGTTCATGAGAAACACATCGTAATCATAATGAGTCTTAACCAATTCTTCTCTCTCCTCCTTGTCAGTTATTTGAGAGACAAGTTCATCAAATATAACAAGAAAACGCTCATAATCCTCAAGCCATGCAGCATACTTTCTTCTTACTGTTTCTGGAGATTCATTATCAGAAATAATCTGTCTTATCACACCACTTGTTATCTTCAGTGTTCTAAATGTTTTATTGTATTGTTCATGTTTATATACCTTTCCTTTGTCTGTTAATTTTCTGTTTCGTGTTCCCGATCCTGTTTCTTCTGTAACGGGCATTATGCTCATAACCTGGATCGCTCATGGAATCACGTCAATGTTGTAGTGTTCTCTTGTACCAACGACACAGGTTCAATTCAATGTCTTTATTAACATGGACACATTCTGGCATTGTATAACAAAGTCCTTGTCTCTGACATAGTATGACAAAGTCCCTATTTCTGACATAGTATGATAAAGTCCCTGTCTCTGACATAGATTGACTACAAATGAAATGTAAATATAATAAATACTTGTACTCAATACAGAATGTACATATAATGTAACCTTTTATCAATATAAATCATGACACAAAAAGTGCTCCTTATATTAAACTTTGTAAACAGTGGTAATATGACAAATTCCTACTCAAATTCAATGTAACAAGTAAATGCATATAGCAGACAGTATGTAATAAATAATTAATATATAATTACCGTGATGTATGTCTGGTACTTTCAGCTAGAACACAACAAACTACTGCACTCATTGATCTAAATATGGCGCTCGTGCATTTCTCAACATTTGATAAACGTATCATTCTGATAAAATTGGAATGCACAGAAATCGAAACTTACGGACAAAATTAGAATTCAAAATAAAATATACAGATTGTCCATTACAATCATTAAAGTCTTGTCTTTATTACAGATTTTTACATTGTCGAAAGAAATACTAGTAAATTTGTGTATGATTTATTTCACGAGAAATGTGCACAATAGTTAAACAAATTAAAAAAAATTAAAGAGTCTATTATATAAAAGTATAAAATATATATTTAAAATTTGGAATTTAGAAAGTTGATTTTTGTTTAATGCTGTTTCATTATATTCTAGCCAGGATTCTAACCAGGATTCCTAGGCTTGACATCATATTCTTCTCAATACTAACATCGTCTAAAAGTTCTGCCAATACTTGTACGTGTTCTGCCAATACTTGTTCTGACTGTTCGTGTACGCGTACGACTAATACATCTAACAGAAGTCCTTGTAGACGGTTGGCGACGTCGAATGGAATCGAACAATGCTCCAAGACCTATTGTGCCCCCAAACAATGCGCTAATACCTATGATCGGGAGCAATGCGACACCGGCACCTCTTTTCTTGCGGCCATTTGACCTGACATTGTAACTTTGCTTGCCGTTTAGAATTCTTATCAGTCCCTCTTGCCATTTTTCGATTACATAGCTATGTCCCTCATCAGGTCCTCCGAAACGATCAGCTCGTCTAAATCGCTCATTAATAATCTGCTGATTCATACTTATCTGGGCGTCCACATTCAATCCTGCATCACCAAAAATAATAACATATAATAAAAATATGAATATTTACAAAGCATTTTAAAACTTTTAGACACACATCTTACAATAGGATAAAGCAAACTGAGTATCGTAAATGAAGATTAATAATGGAGTAAGATATAATTTATATCAGTGTACTTAATCAATCAAACTGCAAAATTCAGAATTACAATTAATAAACGTTGCATAACACATCGATAATCTACTTCGACCAATCCCAATTAAATTATTTTATCACAGTTTTTATTTGAGTTGGTTTTATGTTCCATTTTAAACGATTTGTTTAAAACAAATAAAATAGATGACCTAAAAGTTGACTCTTTGAATTATCATTTAGATGACTGTTGTGACAGGACACTGAAAGATCGAACACTTGAGATTATACATAAGTTTCTTGAAGAAGAAAATGAAATGTATTCAACGGAGAATGTTCAGAAAGTAAAATAAAAGAAACAAGCAAAAAAGAAAATAATAATAAAACTTACACATGCTCCTACCCTGAAATGTTTTAATTATACCTGAGAGAGTTGACTCCCCTCTCCCACTTCTTTAACATATTTTCCGACTTCCTCTCCCTTAGCATCTCTCAAATTATCATACTTATTGATATTAACAGCGGAACAAACTCTTTATCTTTTATACGTTAGCTAATTAAGATATTAGAAAGGTTTTTAGAGTAGGATAAAAACAAGAGGAACAGTATTGACTGTAGGTATGCATTTTAATTAATCATACTGTATTTTCAAGCTTTATTTTATGCACAACAAGCCTTGTCTGTAAACAAATTTTCTAGCTTCCCATTCAAAACGGTATCATACAGCAAAGATGATATATTCCTACATCAATAAAAATGGTACTCGCGAATTTTTATATCTTGTTAAAAAGTCATCTACGAACATTGTTTATAACCATTCTGATTCTACACATTAGTATTCTGAGTTTGATATTAAAAAGAATCTTGAGTGTACAAAAGATAAAAAAAAATCTTGACTTCCTCATTGATAATATCTTTGTGGTCTTTAGAGATCGGGTCTTCCAACAAGCTGTTGAAATCCCATGTTTCTTACTGTGTCCCCATTTAAGTAGACCTGTTTTTGTATTCTTATGAAGCAGAATTCATTGATACATCTGTATTTTGAAATAAGCAAATTCGATATATCCTATTGAACTTGAAATAAAACACGCCACGGAGTCTGACACATCTGTTAAATATTTGAATGTTTAAGAAGAGAAAGACTTTGATGACAAATTAATAACCAAACCTTATGATAAACGTGATGACTTCAACTTTTATATCATCAACTTTCTTTATTTATGTAGCAGTATACCATTATCACCTGCATATGGGATTTATCTCTCTCAGCTGATTCGATAGGCAAGAAAATGTTCTTTATAAGAACAATTTCTTAAAGAAGGCAGACTACTGACAAATTAGTTGATGCTCCTCAAGTCAATTGTGCGAATATCATGGTCGACATTGTTTGCAAATACAATTGTCGTCAGGTCGAATGTTAACTTCCGTCTTTTATACAGATTGTTGACCGTTATATTCATAATGAGAAATCATTGAATTTTCCGTTTACCCGATCTAGCTAGGAACAGACGGAGGCCGTGACTGGTTGTTAGGGATTATTACTATTCAATGGCAATTGACCCCCCTCTGTCCTCACTTTGTATTTTATAATTCAATTTAAGAGCAAGATAACTGTTTACTTTCACTGATTTAATCTTGGTCTGTTCGTCGTCTGTCCGTCTAGCTGTCCGTCCGTCAGTCCGTCTTTCTGTCTGTCCGTAACACTTTCGTTTCCGCGCGATGTCTCCAGAACCCTTGTGAGTTTTTGGAATGAAATTTTACATAACAACTCCTGGTGGCCAAAGGAAGACACCTATTGATTTTGAGGTCAAAAGTTCCACGGTCAAGCCTTTGACCTTTTACAATGAAATTTTATACCACAACTCTCTATGCTCTATGGAACACCCCGATAATTTTCAGGTCAAAAGTTCGAAGGTCAAGGTAATAAATTCATACATTTTGTTTGTGTGTAAAACTTTCATTTCCGACCGATTTCTCAAGAAGCTTTTGAACTTTTGCAGTGAAATTTTATACCATAACTCCCTATGGTCCTGCCCGCCCGTCTTAAAGTGTCCCGTCCCCCCACATCACCTCTTAATCTGCGAATGCTCTTCTTTTTTTCCTTTAGTGGGGTACACATATTTTCTGAATTGGGTCGCCCGCGTGGCGCAGTGGTTAGAGCGTCTGCTCTAGAGTCGCGGCGTAAGGAGTTGATCCTTACGTCGCGGGTTCGAATCCCACTGTGGGACGTGGAGACCGGTCCTTCGGATGAGACCGTATAAACCGAGGTCCCGTGTCGCAGTAGGTGCTGGCACAAAAAAGATCCCTTACTGCTCAATGGCCGTAAGTGCCGA